TGGAGGTAGCACTGCTGTATTAATAGCAGTGGCCAGTTCTTACTCCTGCCAAAGGAAGAGCGCTGTGCTGTCCTGGTGAATGTTTCTTGTGTAATCTCAAGTAACATACTGCAGTCTTCCATACTGTGCAGGGGTATTTGGGGAGTTTTGCTGTACTTAGGATGCTGGTTATCACGGTGTTGACCTGCTCTCTACAAGCATTCTGGGTAGTTTGCTTTTTGGTACTGAGACGGTGACTTTTGCTGTCGCATGTTGCTGCTCATCCTAAATTTTGAACACAGGGCCTATTCATACAAATGTAAATTTACTTAAGTAAATAGTCTGTTCCTGCAAACAATTTACTTCTATGTTTGTAAAAGTAAGCCACAAGTAGTATTTTGGAATTAAGATTGCCTAGAGCACAAATAATGCAGTAGTGTTTTTATATGGTTGTGTTTAAAAAGACTTTTTCACTGTCTTGAAAGAGTATTTCAGCCTACGAACAGCTTCTGAGACTCTGGGGTATGTGAAATGATATACTATCAAAGGCCAGTTTGCTTCTGGTTTAATTTGCACTGGGACTGGGGGGACCTGCATGTACTTCTGTGAGAGGTAGAAGTGTCTTTTGGAAGCATACCCCAGAATGCGGTCACCTCATCTAGTGGAGGGTTTTGATTTAGCTTTTTTTCTGCCTAGCATTTATGAAATTTTAAATCATTACATGCTTTCTCAGTTCATACCTAGGGTTTCTCTGTTTAATTTTTTTAATTCATTGCTTTTCGACACAATTCTGTCCTCTGAATTTTGTATCCCTTTCTTTTTCCCATGCTAGGTTGGTTTTTTTTTTAATAGTGTAACATTTACAAAGATTTTGCTCAGCTATTTGCTTCCACTATCTGATAAGTACACAGCAAAGAAATGACATATTAGCTGTGCGCTTGTTAATGGTTGCTTTTTTTAACCTTTCAAATCAATAACTCTGAGCATAAGTGAAGTCTGAGCTCTGGCTTTGAAAATACTTTGGGATGTGCCTAGCTTTGGATACAAAGCAAAACATGGAAATATCTGTATATGAACAGTCTTACAGGTTTTGGAGACTTATGATAGATATATACAATAAAACTGAAGCTTTGTTTTGGCTTTCAATGAATATGATTTGATATGTGGTTTTTGCAACTCGTGATAAAATGTCTTATTTTAATATATAGTGAATAGACTCCAAAAATAGGCCTGTCTTTCTGTATAAAGTATATTAGTTAAGAAGATGAGTTTCTGGAAAATAAAAATACAGAAACTAGAATATACTGCAAGTAGAACAGATTTAATAGTATCAATAAACTGTGCATATCCATAGTTGGTTTTGATTTTTCTAGTTTTTTTCATGAAAAGAACTGTCTTCTTTGGAATGTAGTTACAAAGTACTCTCTCTGCAGGGAAGTCCTGGTATTAACCAGGGTAAATTTCAGAGGTCTCTGGCTTTTTTAAGAAGTTTATTTTCTGGTTTTTTTGTTTGTTTGTTTTTCTTGCGTGTGTGGTTGTGTGTGGGGTTAGGGTTTTGGTGGTTGGGTTTTTTTTTTTTTGGCTTGAGTTGGGCTTTTTGGGGGGTGGGTGTGGTTAAGAAAAGAAAATACAAAGATACTTCAAATTTTTTATTTATACTTATCCTTCCAAGACAGGCATGTTCCATGTTAAATTATTTTGGTCAATTGAAGCATGAGTTCTGTATGTAAACTCAGAATGCCCTCCCGCTTCAGTAGCAGACATTATCTTTTGTTTTCCCTAAGAGAGAGTTCTAATAGCAGGATTTTAGCATAAAACCTGTTTGTTTTTTTTTTTTTTCCACTCTCCACAGTCTTGAGAGGTAGGTGTTATCTGACATGCTCTGTACATGTTACTTCTGAGCACTGGTTTTGTGGCAGAGTCATTTTGCCCTGTCTGACTAATACAGCTCCCTTTGCTTGCCAGTATCTTGCCAGATACTGGTAGATTTGTCTTCCATGGCAGTCATTTGAAAACATACTTTGGGGGAGATTTTCTATTGCAAGAAAATGGGCTTGATAGCAAGACAGTCTGGCATAATTTCCAAATATAGATATATATTTTAAATGTATGTGTAAAAAACTTCCAGTTTCAGTGGAAAAGAAAAAACAAGCAACCATGAAAGCAGAGCTGCTGTTGGTTAAAATAAAAGTTTTCAGCCTCAGATGTGAGGTTACGTTTTGTTTAACATATGAGAATTTCTTTCAGATGTGATGTTAGCAGAATGACAATGAAAGTGCTCAGCACTGACATGTTGTAATGGTGACTATGCGTTTTTTCTTATTATGATTGTAAATGAGTAAGGATTGGAGATTGGTTTTCTGTCTGCCTGCTTTACTGTCCATTAGTAATTAATGGGAGATAAAAGGGAAAACAATTTAGAGTGAATACACTTCACTGCTGGTTCTGGTGCAGTTGAGCCATGCATTACTGTACTGAGTTTAATTTGAATTCTTCAGTTTCATTTAAAGGTGGCTGTTCAGAGCATGTAGAATTCCACCGGGATGGCTTGCAATAAGCAAGGGGAATACTCACTTTCCCCTGAAATATGTACATTAGTTTAAGTACCAGAATCTTAAAGAAGATGCAAGAAGAGTTTTGTGACAGTGCATGCGAAGTATTTGGTTAGTAGCATTTACTTTTCCTTAATTCCCTCTTTCCATTATTAGGTAGATGATGGAGAGTAAATCTGATGATTGGGTAGCTTTCTGCTCTGGTATGAAATTCCTGATACTTGCGTGAAAATGAAAAAGGATTCCTCTAAGAGAGAAGACAAACAAGGGAAGTGGGGCAGGCACTGGCCTGATTTTAGTGAAGAGGATTTTTATTTATTCACTTATTTTTTGAAACAGATAGCATTTAGGTTTCTCTTCCCCCAAAGCAGCATATTTAGGATCACAAATGTAAATGAATGCCTAAAATGGGAATGAGACACTGCTTTCTGGAAGAATCAGGAGCCAGTTTTGACTGTGTATCAGATACAGATAGGTGAGATCAAGGAAAAAAAGAGGACTTTGTTTGGTGTCTCAAATGGAGAGTTTGGACAAGAAACATCATGTGTCCGTGACGTGTGATCTTCAGGGGTTGCAGTAAGGGAAAAAACCTCAAACCTGGCAGTTGGCAAAGAAAAGCCCAAATCTAGAAGTTTCTTCATCCCCAGGAGAAGAACTGGGCCTCGGGCTGTTTATAAAAGAGGGTATCAACATCTGGATTCTGTGACCCTGTTCATAATACTGTTATGTTTTCTTGCAGAAGCCCTGAGGTCCAGTCACCTATGCTAGCAGAATGGTATTAGTATTGAGCATTATGAGCACAGTACAAGAATTACGAAGTTCCCTTTTACCTCCCATGCAGGTCACTACCTAACTTGTGTCAGTGGATTTTCCTCTGAATCCTGTTACAATGACTGAGCAGTATTATTGCTGGCTTGGAGAATCTAAGCATCTCCATGTTGTTCTAGCACATACAAACCAACTTAGTATTCAGGAAGATGGTGTCCTTATGAGTTCTCTGTAGTCTAACAGGCACTCCCAGTGATGCCTAATAGACACACCTGAATGTGAGGTCTGAATGAAGTGGTGCCAGTTTGTTTCTTTAGCTGTTGTTCTGAGCAAAAGAAAATGTGCTTTGTGATAGTGCTCACCATTTTGTGCAGTAGCTTCGTGGTTAGAGTATCTACCCAAGAAGTAGGAGCCTGGGTTCCATGTTGTTCTGTTACATTTCAGCATGTGCCAAAACTTACATGAAAGGTAAATTCTGGGGGGGTATACTCTGCCCTTTTGCGTGAACTTTGCCAGTGAGTGGCTAAGTTTCACAGGGCTGAAAAGATGGATCAGTGGAGAAGGTGAGTCAGTGGCTCAGTGATAAAGAATTCACCTAGGAGGGAGGCAAATACGTGTCACATTAAGACATGTCTTTGATTTTTTGGGGGAGAAAGGAAAAGGTGAAAACTATATATAATTTTTGCAGTCCATTTAATTTATCTTAGTGTTGGTAGCATTATTACAGTGAGTGCAGCTTTCTGATTTGGAACTTTACAATTTTGGAGAAATTTCATATGAAGAAGCTGCCTGTTTTCCTGTTCAAGTGGGAGGATGGAGGGAATAACATTCCACAGACAATGTGAAAAGGCAGAGTGAGATTGCACAGGATCCAACATATCATCCTGAAGTTTAACAAGTCAACACTCCCTGCTCTCCTCTGTTCCCCTCTAACTTGAGGGTTTTTTTAAAATAGTTGTTGTTGGCCTTTTCAATGCGAAGAACTGGTGCTAATTTACCCTCTACTCTGCTACCACTGGTAGGCAAGTGGCATTAAATGTGTTTTAAAAGTATGTTTAAATTGAGATTCATGCACCTTCTGGCTTTACCCTTCTATTAATCCTTTATTCAAAATAATCATAATATTGAAAGTTTTTAAAATAGTTTGGAAGTGGCTTTTTTGCATCACCTAGTGTAAAATGTTAAAGAGATTTTGTTACTCTAGTGTACATAAATGTTCCACCACAACTCTCTGGATTGCCGATACATGCATTTCTATCTCTTTTCTTTTTTTCCATGCTCCTTATCACTTTTTTTGGGAGATGTTCTTCTGCTTTTTCTTATCTGCTTGTCTTTTACCCTTGACCTGGAGCATTTACACATTAGTGCTTACTGAAATACTTTGTGGTGAATTTAGAGCAAAATAAATTAAGACCTTGCAGTTCAAGATAGTCGAGCTCTGTAGCTGGCTCCACTTGTGCAGCAGTTCAGTACACTATAATATGTAGACACTATTGGCACTGGCAGACTGTTCATCATCTGTCTGACAGCAGGTCAACGCTGTAAGCAAAACAGCACTTGGCTACTTGAATTCAAGAATCTAATGTTTTCCCCCCAGTAAGACCTGCAACCTGGTTCAAATAATCCAGACCTTACAATTTTTGAAATTGTCTGCAGTGGTGGACACAGCTATTCTTTTGTAACTGTTCGTTTTCTTTAAAGGAAGTCAAGATAGTTTGCACTTGAAGGGTACTTGGACAAACCTCGGATGCCTGTTAACTTGAGTCAAGCTGGAATTTGTGTGAAAAGCTGAGCAGTTGCCTCCTGGCTGCTGGGAAAAGATTCTGCTTTCAGGTAAGTCTGGAAATAAGCTTGCTGCATACTTATCTGCTTTAGGCTTTTACCAGTTGCAGAGTGGAATTTACTAGTAATAAAAACCTGATTATTTTATGTGCTGAACAACAAGGATTTTTGAGAGGTCTTACAAAGTTCTCTTGAGGGGGCAGGGGGTGGGGGAGGACTGTTTGTGTGTGCTTGACTGAATTTCTTGCCTGCATTTCCCAAGAGAACAAGTGCTTCATCTTCTTCATTCTCACCACCCGTATCTTTGAACATCCTTTTTTCCCTTTACTCTGTCTTCTACCTTAAAACTAACCACTGTGCCCTTTGCAGACACTGGGGGTTTTTTCACAGTGGGAGTATTTGTCATTCCTACTAGATCTCAAATGGAAGTACTGAGGTTCAGTTAATGGTCCTGTAGACTGCAACCTTAATTGCTTGGAGACACCATTTGAGGAAGCAGTGTACCCTGAGGACACTATGTCCTTAAAAGGATAGGAAAATTGAGTCCTTAGTACGATGTGGTTTCTGTCCAAGAAATGTATTCAGGTCTTGCTTAAATAAGAACACCAAACACTCCATGTTTCTCACTGTGCCTCTAGTACTAGTTATCCTATAGATACATGAAATGGCAGTCAGAATTAAGTATGTTGTGGCATCTCATAACATTGTCATGTAAGTTTAAAGAAGTGTATTTACTGGCTTCAGCAAAAGCTTTGTTCAATAAAATTCTGTTATGGATATGACAATATTATCTATTAGGTAACTGGTATAAATTTCTGTTTTACTGTAATCGGATGCTCTCAGCTTTGTAGGACTGAATTGTAATGCAGAATCATACTCCATACTTACATTGCAATAGTTTATTTTAAAAGCTGGATCAAATAGATTGAAGAGAGAAGAGCTTGTGACAGTGTGGAGAAATGCAGTCAATGCAAATTAACTTATTTAACATTTCTAGTGTAGAGACATCCAATATGGCGGTAGCATTTCATCATTAAAGAACAGATGATGTTGATAATTTGCAGTTATTTAATATCTTCCAGGTTCTCAGGGATGGTGATTTGAAGAATCAGGTTTCCGATATGAACAAAGTAAAAACATCATCTGAAAAAAGGTAAATTTAATACTATGGTGACTTCTCAACACCAAGCTATATGAGATTTGTGAAAAAAGCAGTCTATATCTTAATTTTAAGGTAGACAAAATATACGTTAATGGGTCCCTAGTAAGTATGTGTAAAGTGATGTCCTGAAACGCTGAGGGAGTCAATATTGATTAGCATAAAGTAGCTTCACACTTAATAAATAACTTCTTAAATTTAGAATTTTCAGTTAGTGTTAAGACATGTTCAAATATAAAATGTACATTAAATTTCATTGAAACAACTATCAATTAATTGTTTTATGCAAATATTGGCAAAACATAAAATGATTTCTGCTGAAAGAATTAAAGGACAGGTTTATAATACTGTATAAGAAGCCATGAATTTTTCATAAAATGCATATCATTCTCCAACAGTCCTGCAATCCAACACATAGCTAGGACAAACAAGAGTGAGATTACAGAAGATTTCAAGAGTTGAAAACTTGTGTTTGTTATTTTCATTGATAACTTGTTTTAGCAAATATCTGAAAAAATTATGAGATTATCTGTGGAACGCAACATGTCTGTTAAGCATCAGGAAACTATGGAAAGGTGTTCAGTCTTACTCTTTTCTTAAGCGAGCACAGGTTAAACCACCACATTAAAGCAAACCATCTAATCAGATTTAAAAAAAAAATTGTAAAGGCAGCAAAATAGGGAATTCTGGCTTCAGTCTTGGCTCTCTGAAATACTGATTATTGTCTAAATGAATGGATGAATTTGCATGAAGGACATACTCTACTGTGGATTAATTTTATATCTTGGGATGGATTTAAAATTTGAATTTAAATGGTTGCATGTAGAATAATTTTTGCTTTTGCTGACCTTAAGAGTCGAATGGTTTGATATCAGAGACTGGCTGTTCTTGTTTGTGTGAGAAATAGATCAAAAGAAATAGTAAAGAAACTGATATGTTTTCTACTGATGGTATATTAGTTCCTTAGGCATTATGATAAGCAAAGTCATACTCTCTGTCAGCAATGGGTTTTCTTGGAAATACTACCAATTATAATACGTAAAGTATGCGAACACAAAGAATACTAGATTTTTGCAGAGTGGCTACTTAAGTACCGTTTATTCTTCTTTAGTTATTGAGTTAAAATGGAAATTTCCATCCCTGCAGTTCAAAACAGTTGTTCCCTAAGTCGTGAATAAATTACGGTGAATTTATTGTGCAGAGGTAGCTCTGAGCTAATTGGAAGTATCAGGTCTCCAAACATTATTTGGTAATGTGGAGGTGGTTGAGAAACAAAGTAATGTGGAAATGGTTTGCATTGGAATAAAATGAAAATAAACTCATGAGAAGCCTGCCTACTTTAAAATAGCTTTTTAATGGGTTGCTCTAACATGCTGAACACGGAAGACCTGTTTGCTGTGGGGGAAGAAGACACTCCCCGATATGTCAGTGTTCTGGCTGACTGCAAACAGCAGTTTCAGAGGAAGTAGGTACGGTTGGGAAACTGAAGGTTTCTGGTGACTTCCTTCATTTCACCATTGTCTCTTGGAAGGCTTCTTACAAGATGAATAGCTGAAAATCATTCTAAGACAACTGAATTTTTATATGCTGCTGTGATAGCCATTAGCGTTACCTTTCTCATTGTGAGCAGACACTTAGAAAGGTGTCATGATGTAGTTTAGCATTTGCATAGCGAAAGTAGTGTGCAGTGAGTAATGGAGAGTTGTGAATCTAGCACTTCCTCATAATTAAAGAATGCTTAAACCTTTTGGGAATTGGGGGGACTGCAAGAAGTGTCCCTGCAGTGAGGGAATTTTCTTTGCAAAGATGTTTTCTTGTTAAGGCAGTTCTTTTTCAAATGTGAACCCCTGAAGTCCTGTGTTCCTCACTGTTGGGGCAGTTGCTTCCTTTATATCTACTCACAGCTTTCCTAACCAGAGAAGGAGGAAATCCGCAAAGCTTTCTCGTTAGCTGAGTCATGCTGTACGCTTTGGCAACAGTTGAGATGACAGCAAGCTTGTTTGTTCATGCTTCCTTTCTGCAAACAAGGTGGTGGTGTGAGGGGCGTTCTGAGCTGTGGCATTTGAACGTGGGATGGAGAAAGGGTTTCCTGCCTCCGGAGTCATGCAGTGTATGGGATCAAGTAAGCCTGGTGAACTGTACCTCAGGACACTTAAAGAAAGTCTGAATCCATCCCAGTGTAATAATTATCGGTTGTCTTCAGAATTCATGCGATTTGGGTTAAATAGTGAAAGACAGAGGTGGCAAACCTAGTGGTTGTGTCTGCGGGAGTCAGGGAGCAGAAACCGAGTAGCTGTCGATCCACCATCTCTCTTTTTTTTTTTTTTTTTTTGTGTGTGCAGAAGGGTCCTGGAAGAACTAACCAAATGGATGAGGCTGCGAACAGCCAAAAGTGGTTTGAGTTGTCCTTGAAAATACATCTGATTTTTCATGTGTGAGAGTCACAGATCCCATGAGCACAAAAGTGGCATTAAAATACCACATACATGTTTAAAGCTTTACTAAAGTAACCACTGCATGTGATTGCTATCAGGAAGCTAAGGCAAGTGCTCTGGAGTAGAGCACTGACAGGATACCAGAGCAGTGGTAGTTGAATGCTGTCAGAAGGAAAGAGTGCACAGTTTGTTTTTGGATGTGGTCTGTCTTTCTGTTTCTGGTTACAGTTAATGACTGAAAATATTTAGAGTTTTGACTAATGATCTGAAAGAGAAGAAAGAGTTCTTGTTAAAATTGCAGACAACTTCAAGCTGAAAAGATCTGCAAAAATATTGGAGTACCAAATGATTTCGAAATACTCTTGTCAAATGCAGAAAATGGTTAAGAATATTGATGGAAATATGTGCAAGGTACTGTGCTTAGGTATACCACTGGAATGGATAAAGGACAGTCACATTTGTAGTGGGGAGAGCCAGAAATAGTAAGATTATAGCGCAGGGAGAAAAACTTTCAAATGAAGGGATACAAAGTGTTACAACAGGGTTGCCTTTGCCCTCGGTGACTACAGAGTGCTCTTCCGAGAAGGCTGTAGAATGGGTGGGGTGAAAAATGTCTCTTTCAGTAACAAGGGTTCTTCACATTGTGGGAAAACAAGTTTTGTATGAAGGGCTGGCCACACTGTTCAGGGTATTCATGTGCAGTTCTGCAATGTCAGCAGCTTAAGAGGAAATCTAGCTCTGACAGGATACGGTTTTTATTGTGCCATTCTGACTATTCCCTTGGTTTACCTAGCTGTTGGATTAAAAATACTGAATTCCATGGTGCCTCTCTGTTTTGGAGAGCTGTCTTCTAGTTTTGGATCCTGAATGGTTTGTTGGTCAAAATGTACATATTTGCATTACAAGTATCGGAAGGAGTCCCATTGTAAATTGGGCTTCAGTTTGGCTTGTAGGTCAAATGGGTTGTCACAGCAGTATTACGTACAGGAGCAGAGTCAGTCAGGCTGGCTGTCGTAATTCCTGTCCTACAGCCTTTTAGATTTACTGTGCAGACATTGAAAGCTGTCACGGTGTTATAACCATGTCCTGGTTTCGGCAGGGATAGAGTTAATTTTCTTCCTAGTAGCGGGTACAGTGTATTTTGGATTTAGTGTGAGAATAATGTTGATAACACACTGATGTTTTATTTGTTGCTAAGTAGCACTCATCCTAAGTTAAGGATTTTTCAGTTTGCCATGCTCTGCTGGCAAGCACATGCACAAGAAGCTGGGAGGGAGCACAGCCAGGAGAGCTGGCCCAAACTAGCCAAAGGGATATTCCATACCATAGAATGTCATGGCCAGTATATGAACTGGAGGGAGTTGGCCGGGAGGGGTGGATCACTTCTCGGGCATCTGTCAGCAGGTGGTGAGCAATTGCATTGTGTATCACTTGTCTTTTTCTTGTGCTTTATGTTTTGGTTGGTTGTTTTGGTCCTTTTCATTACTGTTATTATTATGTTTTATTATTATTATTGCTAGTATTACATTTTATTTTACTTTAGTTACTAAATCGTTCTTATCTCAACCCATGAGTTTTACTTTTTTTTTTTTTCCCAATTCTCCCCATCCCACTGGCAGGGCAGAGGAGTGAGTGAGCATCTGCGTGATGCCTAGTTGCTGGCTGGGCTTAAGCCCAGACAAACCACTATGTATACTAGTGTAGAATATTAATAAACAAGAGTACAATTCTTGTTTTAAGAAGAAAACTCAGTCATAGCTAGAAGGAAATCAGGACTTTAATTTATATTTCAGCGTAGACTCTGGGCTGGTGTTATTTTCAAGAACACTTTATTGGGTATGCTGAAGATGTGAAGTTTATTTGGCTATATTTCTGTTGGAAGACTGCTTGTAAGATGAATAGCCTAAAACCATTCTGAAGATACCTCTTTAACCGCTACAATGAGTGCTCACTGCCCTTGATAGAAACTCTGGCCCCAGGAGGAGATTATACCTCTAAATCTTAGGACTTAAATTGTTATGCCACCCAGTAGTGAGAATGACTTACCCTTCCTAAACCTTTTAAAACTTTTAGTAATTATGGAGAAATTAAGTTAGATGCTAACTTTCTGTACCTGGTATATTACTTCCATGTGCCAGTGTTGCTTGAATTTTGCAGGCTGCAGCAGTCAAAAATCAGCTTTGCGCTGAAAGTTTAGTGCCTGTAAATGAGTTTTGTCTTTACAAAAACTTGTATCTTCTTTGGTTTTTTGTTCCTAAGGGTCATCTTTGCTTTCTTGTCTTGTTTCCAGCTTTCAAACTACATTCACTTCATTGTGAGACCAATGATACACCACAATGGAAATTAAATACATGTGTATACAGACACACACACACATTGAAGCAGCAGTTCTGTTACACGTTGATTTATATGTGGGTTGGCTGGACTCTTGTTTTGATTGTGGAGCTGGTGAAGATAACATCCTTTGGAAGTTTGTCAGTTTGTACAGCAGATCAACAGAGCTTGTGGATTTAATTAAAATCTTGGGTTTATTTTGGAGTATTTCCAGTTCAGTGGATAAATGGAGAAGTAGAAGTAAACAAAACAAAGCTTATGCAAGTGGTAATGGCTTTATACTATTCAACCTGGGTTTAGATGATGAGAAAGGATTGGAGGGATTATGCTTTACTTATCCAAGGAAAGTAATATTTCAGCAACCAAGACAGATATATTTTAGATCAAAAAATACTTTTAAGTCAAAGTCTAGCAAATAACTGGGAAGGTGATATACTTACTTCACAATATAAAATTATTTTGATTTAAGCTCTATAATTAGTATAACCATTTCTTACTACTGATTTTAACAGCTTGTAAGTATCATCTGTAACCTGAAATTGTTTTTTGGTTATGCTTCTCATTTAGATGGAAAAATGGAAGTGGTAGAAGCAGTTTCCTCAGCAGTTTTTATATCAATTTGCTTTCATGACAGTACAACCATTGCTGTCAGCTACATTTTTTCCTTGATTTTAACATTTTTGTCCACATCTAAACAAATTATTTTAGTAGAGTTAACTGTGTGAAACCTTTTCACAGATGTAAAATAAAAATCAAGGAATAATAATGCCTTATTGTTAGAAACAAAGCTGACAGTATTTATAAAGCCTAATGTTATATACTTTAGTGTTATTGCAGATAGTCAGAACAGTATGTGTGTAAAATGAATTATTGTTGATTATTGCGGGACTCTAATGTTACAAAATTGAAAAGTCAAGGTAGTTAATCCTTGGAAATCATCATTTCCTGTAGTTGATTACATGACTATAATTCGAATGTTAACCATTTGTCTAAAAATTACTTTCATGTGGGAATGTGAATCTCAAAACTATTCTGAGTAGTTATCATGTAAAACTGGAAAGCAAATAATTTCTAGACTGACTATTTTGAATACTATAAATATTTAAATTTATTGTTTATCTGTAATTTGCCTATCTATATGAATGCCTGGTTCAAAATTGTTTCTTATATTAAAATACATTTTCAAGGCAATTTTATGATGTCAGGCCAAAATACCCTTGTGTTCAAAATGAATCCAAACCGATGATAGTTTTGGACACCTTCCAAAGTTTTTCTTTAAAATTGTGTTCTTTTTCTTCAGCTGGTAGGTTCTGGCTTGCTCACTTCATGAATGATAATCTTTTCTTTCACCTCCAAAACACCAGCTCTCTAAGACAAACAGTCTTTGGGACTGTTTGTAGCCATTTTTTCCTTGAATGGCAGGTTTGATACAGTATCCTGGCACTTAACATAAACTATATTAAATATAAGTTACTCTAATTGACATAGATAAACAACATTTGTACCTATATCTGGAGTTTATTTGCTGCAACCAATTTCCCTGTTCACAGTTGCTCTTGGAGATGCTGTTAAATATAATTAGTCTGCTGCAATGCAGGCTTTGCAAAATCTGTAAATTTGCCAGAATTAAGGAGAATTAAGACTGTTTTTCTATCGAGAGAAAATATGAAGGTGAATTATCCACTCCCCTTACTCCGACATGGGATTTCTGTTGTTAGTATTTTTTTTTGATCTGGTCTAGATGCGAAAAGTGAATGTAAAAAAATCTTTCTTGTAGTGTTTCTACCAGTTCTCGGACTATGTCGCTGCTGTCACAGCTGGAGAAGATCAATTTGGACTCTGTGTTAGGAGAAGCAGACAATGCTAGATACGTTACCTCAAAGATCCTTCATCTGGTTCAGAGTCAAGGTAAATATCTAAGTTGTGTGGGTTTAGTAGTTCTCCTTTAGAGCCTTCCTCCTTATATTTCTTCCTTGCTGGACTTTTCTTTGTTTCTTTTTGGTGAACTTGATTGTCTATATGTTTTTGTCCCTGATTGTTGAAAGCACCTGTTTAAGGCCCTGTTTAATGCTATCTGGTATAGTATTGCTTACACTGAGTGCGTTCTGATACAGCGATAATTTAAGTAATAATTCACAATATATGTATGTGTGTGTGCATATATATGAGAAGTAGAAGTATCTGGAGGAGGGCTTTCTTACAGATTTTTTTCTTTACAGTTTCTTTTCTAGGGCATGACAAGGTTGTTGAACAAGTAAAAGCAAAAATGAGTGTTAAAATCACTTAAGTCTTTTACTTAGTTTTATATACATATATGCAGTTTTAAATAGGTTTTATTATTAGCAGTGTAGATTTTCTGATCAATCTGTATATGATCATGTTTTTTTTTCTGCAAGCTAGAACATTAAAAGTGGTCTTTTTCTCACTGGCAGAAAAAACCAGGAAGGAGATGACTTCTAAGGGCTCTACTGGAATAGAAGTTATCCTGTCAACGCTAGAGGTAAAACTTTTTAATCTGTGTGGTTAAGGGTACATAGCAAGTTTTCATTTTATCATTGGGCTTTGTATTATTAAATATGTTGTTATCCTAGCTAGTCTCCAAAACTTGTGTAGGACTGTAATGATTAGATATGGTCTTTAAGTATCATAACCTACATAAGAATTTCTCCCCCTTATTTTTAAATATTCAAGAAATTATTTGGCAACTATCAGTTCTAATTAATATGTCATACTACAAACTAGATTTTAATTGGTTTTGTGGTTAATTCAGGCTGCATAGTGGGATGGTTAGCTGGGTTATTACATCTTAAGTTCTGTTTGATTTAGTGGTGGCAATTTCTCTGAGCTTTAACTATCTAAACCACTGTATCAGACTTCCACATTAAGCAAAGAAATCTCTCTGGTTTTCATTGCAGAATACAAAAGATCCTCAAACTATTCTAAATATATTGAATATTCTCATTGAGGTAGTCTCCGTTGGTAAGTTTTCATTAAGGAACAATTTGTGATTTTTTTATTCCTGTATTGTTCTGCAGACTGGTTTTTTGTTTGTTTGTTTTCTTGGTGTTTTTTTGTTTGTTTGTTTCTGACAATTGCTAAAGCTGATTTATATGCAGAATAAAAAACATAAGGACTGAAGTCACTTTTCAAATAATCATACACAAATAATTTATGTTGCTGCAAGTCTTAATTCCAGCATGTTCTTAAATAGTGCAGTCACACTTGAAGAAAATATTGCTCTTCTAAAGACTCTCTTTATGATAACTGTAGCTTTGATACTTAATTTGTTCTTTGGCTTCCGAGATATCAGTTAAGTTTTAATTTCTAGGTGGTGGTCGGAGAGCCAGCGTCTTAGTCACTAAAGGAGGGACACAGATCTTATTGCAGCTGCTTTTGACTGCCAGCAAAGACACTCCACCAAATGAAGAATTAATGGTGCTTCTTCATACTCTTCTTGCAAAAATTGGTCCAAAAGGTGATAATGATATACTTAAGTAATATGGCTTAATACTTTACAGTTTCATGACTGAAACTTAAGAACAATTTTCTTACTATTATTGTATAAGCATCCACGTACTCAGAACTGGTAGAGAACAAAAGGAGGAGTAAAACAGAGGGGAGGATAGAATGGTGAAATATAGATAATGCAGAGTTGACATTATCAGTAGAAGGAATTCACAGTTCATTTATTTTTTTATAATAATTTCAAAATTAGTTTGATTGATCTTGTATTTCTTTGATGTCAGACAAAAAGATTGGCATGAAAGCAAGAATTAATGGTGCCCTCAACATATCATTGAATTTAGTGAAGCAGAATTTGCAGAACCACAGGCTAATACTGCCATGTCTTCAAGTATTAAGAGTTTACTCAACCAACTGTAAGTATTGCAGATTATTTTCTTTCCCATGTGATATTTTATCTAGACAACAATTAAAATACCGGATCTAAATGCTTGTTTAATGTTAGGTGTTTAAAATAATTATTTTTAGCAGACACTTTGCTTTTTATATTGTCAAATCGCTTAAATTCTAATAAAAACTGTGAAGCATATTTGTATTTCTGTATATCTTTGGGTTTTGTTCAGTGTGTGTGATTATATATACGTAAATATATATATAGTTGGGCGGGGTTTAACCAGTGCTATTGGATGTGTGGAATTTTGAGTCATCTGGTTTGCATAAGTGCTGATGCTTTAAGATCTAAACCAGAAATGCTAACACTGTGCTTGCAAAAGCACTTCAAATTAAATAATTATTCTCTTTATTATACATGCTCATGTTTTTTTTGCTTTTTATTATTTTATTTAATTCCTGATTGCTAATTTAAAACTTGGTTCACACAGGACATATTTTATTTCTTTATTTAACCTTTCCCTTATTCCTTGTCTTGAAGTGCCCTACTATTGGACTAACATTCTTTCACAAGAGCCTAATTAATTGTTTGGGCAGGCAGTAGGAAGTTGATAAAAATAGTGTGGTTCTTCCCGTGTTTCTACTGTTGGTTAGATGCTCTTAAGTTTTTCCTTTGAGCTCAAAATGACCGTTAAACCTCTTAAAGAAGTGTGAGAAAGTGAAAACATAACCACATTCCTCCAAGAGAATTGATTTGATGATCTATGAGATCATGTTTTCAGGACATTCACATGAGCACCTATAATTCATAAAGTCCCAATATTTTTAAAATGTGGAAGCTTTATTTCTGTTGAGCCGTCTGATAATGAGGTAAAATGTTTCTAAATGGAAGACTTTAATACAGATAGTTACATAGCTTAGCTGAAAATTTGCTTCATCCTGAAAATGGGAAATTGAACTGAGTCTTTAATTAGGATTCTGCTTAGATCAATTGTATCTTTCTGTATTTCCCACTCCTTATTAGCAGATAAACTAGTAGTTTATTACACGTAAATGGGAAGTACTACTTAAAGTTTGTATACAGTTACTACCAGCATAGAATCCTAACTTAGATTCTAGTGGTGTAATGTTGCTGCTAATAATGATGAAATTGCAACTTCGGTTCGAGTACTAAATTCTACACTAATAACAGAATTTGTTGTGTTGAAGTCAATTCTTAGTTGCTCTCTTCCGCTTTGTTAGGAATGCATATTGCTAAACTCGGTTGGGAATTGAATTTCTGTGCCTCTTTCAGCAGTTTGTATTTTCAGTGGGCATTGGGCTTCAGCCATATATACATCCAGTGTGCATTTCTTGAATGTAGGTCTTAGCATAATTTCTTTTAATTTTCTCCCTTTCAAATAGATGGTAATTTTTTTTTTTCTGAGAACACACATGCATAATGTGTAGCTCAGGAAAGCTTATACCAACTGGCATTTCTAAATTTTGCAGCAAACGCTTGGCTTTCAAATTGTGGTGGACATACCTGTCTTTCCCGATACTGAAGGATAATAGCAGGTCATAGGACTTGTTAGACTTAAGAATTTTAGAAACCCTGCCGTTTTGATAAACTGTGAGACTTTTTTCAAAGAAAAGTCTTTTTATGATATATCTTAATAACAAAGAAAGCAGAAGCGTGCATTGGAAGTAGTACATAATTTTATTTGTAAATTAATAATTAATTTTTTCCTTCTTTTCCAAGTTTTATCAGGATTGGATTATCACACTAATTATGTAGAGAGTGCTGTCTGCTTGTCATTGTATGTCTTAAAGCCCAAACATGTTTAACGTTTTTGTACTTAAAAATTAACTTGCATGGATTTTAGTTTGAGTATATTGATATATTTTTTTTCTTTTGCTTTTCTTATTACATTATCTTAAAATGGATTGTTTTTAACTCTTCCAGCTGTAAATGCAGTGTCCTTGGGAAAGAATGGAGTAGTAGAACTGATGTTTAAGATCATTGGCCCTTTTAGTAAAAAGAACACTAGCCTTATGAAGTAAGTAAGGTCTCTTTAATATAGTATATGGAAAAACCTGAGATAAGTTTTGAAACTTACTTGTAAATGAAAAATTGTATTAGGGAAATCAAATGTAACTCATATTTGAAAGGAGGTGGGAAGGAGAACCACAAATCTGACAGTTTAATTTTACCCAGTAGAGTGAAACAAAATATTTGGATGTCTAGTTACAGTACTGGTAAAATAATATAAATGTTATTTTTTGTCTCTGATATTCCTGTGTGGAAACTGTACAGGGGTTATCCCCAAATCAGGACAAACAGATCAAGACATTCCCATCACTTTTCGATTTTTTGAATTGGCTCCCACACCTCCTTTGTGGTTTTAGAGTCACTATCTATTTTGTTTTGTAATAGAATTTTCTTTCTGTTTTACTTCAAAGCAATTACAGACTCTCAGAGCAAAAACATAAAACACAGTAGTAAGCACCAGCAATGTCTGTCTAGTGGGCTATTGTGTGCTTAAAAAATAAATAACTGCATACCTTAAAGTGGTGACTTTAGATTCCCCACCCAGTGTATTTTTCTCTTTTTTTCTTTAAGTGAATTTAGGGTAAAAATAGATAAGTGGATCTAACTGGAGAGAGCCCTTTCTTTATATATTACCACCTTTTTGAAGTACTTGCCTGTGGAAAACTGAATTTTTCATCTGGTTAGCAAAATAGTAATCTCATGTTGTTCATCTTCTAACTTCAGTACAAAAAAAAATAGTGTTATGTTATCTAAGTTTGTGGTCAGTGGAGTATCTTGTAAAAAAAAATGCTCTGCCCCTTTTAAGCCGCAGCTATAATTAGACATATGAACTTGCTATTCCATGATGTGAGTAATCATGATAGCCTTGTTTATAGTCTAAGATCAGATGCATGGAGTCTATCTTTACAAAGAGGGTAAAAATAAGTATATACATTTTCTAGTGTACATCTTGAGTTAACTGAAACAAGATCTTCTTGTACAAGAAAAATCTTACACTGACGATCTTGTATTGTAGTACAGATTGATGAGTATTACTCTTCAATATATTCATACACTGCCAGTTTTGAGCTACAGTTTTCTAAAATAGTGTCATTTGCTTTGTAGAAGTACTTGTTCTGCTGCTAACATAAAAACGTGAGTTTCGGAAGTATCTCATTTACTGAGTATGGTTCATAAACATTACATTGTCATTTATGGTGTCTTTTTGCAAAGGCTGAAAGTTTGAATAGCCATTGCATTGCTATTTTTAAATTTCACCATCAGACTTCAGATATAGCAGATATGCGTGATATTTTAGTAAAATCAAATATTTAAAAGCAAAGTCTGTGATACAGTGCAACCAGGAAGACATGAGCATAGATGCTAAATAAATCTGCTAGCAGTAAATATTTTATATAGCTTTACAGTGTTGTAGATTAAGCTTGCTGGTTGGTTGCTGTTTTGACTTTTCTTGTTATGTTGACAGGGTTGCTTTAGACACACTTGCTGCATTGCTAAAATCAAGTAAGTGTTTGACTACAAAAATCTGTTTGTCTAGTTGAGATATATATATGTGTGTGTATATATACACAGAATAAAACTAATATTAAAGTCTGTGGCCAATGCAAAATCAAGGCTAGAAAACTTAGACGTAAGGCTACAATTGTATCTGCAGTCTCTGGTGCTTTAGTATTTGTATGGTATATATGTATGTGTTTACTAATTAGTTACTGTTTCTTCAATTACTCAGCAGAAAGGCTGTGCTGCTTCTGCACACCTGGTCTGGATCCAAGGTGGAGGAATAGCCTTTTACAGTCATTCATCTCAGGCCTTCAGTAACAGATATCTGTAACTTAGCTCCTATGCATCTTCTTTATACATACATCTGAAAATATCTGTTGGATGGCAGGGCAAAATACAGGGTTTCTTCAGGTACCTTCCTGACTAATTAGGTCTTGGTTCCTCATGACAAGTCTGTCAGTGATGCTCATGAAGTGGAACCAAGATTAACGAAACAATGGTCTGTTCCCAGACGTTGGCTGTCTTAGCCGGCAGAGGTGGATCCTGACAAATGTCATCTGTGCAGATTTTGTGTCAGGATTGTAACTGACAAGGAATTAAAAACTCATTCTCTCTAAACAGTTGTATAAAAGCTACAGCATTCCTGGTAGTTTTAGTGGAGTTGGATAAGAACTGAGATGTGATTAGATTTGCAGAAAACCATTTCAGGCAAATGACAGGAAACTTCTGTACCGATTATTACAGGGTGCTGAGATTTCTCATGTTTGATCTGTGTGATACCTTGATCTTACAGATTTGTGTATTTACTAATATTGGAATTTCTCCTTAGGATGTTTAGGGAAAAAAATATTTCTGAATTATTGTCAGTATTCTGTTCTGTAAATTGGCAGTTAAACTTTAATGTTGAGGAAAGAATTTAAATGTTGAAAAGGTGTGTCTTTAAAAAAGGAGGTCTTGTGCATTTATTTTGAGATGTCTTATTCAGTCCTGAGGGCTTTGGACATTGTAACTTCCTACACTTTGTACATGTAAATCTTTTCATAAGAACACTAATCTCTGGTGTGTAGAGTCCAGTTGTCATACTGATTATCCAGTATTTGGGTAGAGGTATTTTGCGTTTATCAAATTTGAGTGATAGCTGCTGCAAAACTCTATGGATTACAAGCAGTAAGAAGTTTGTTTCAAATCTTCTATCTATGTACACAGTGTGTGTGGATAGAGATAGATATGCTTTATATAAACTTTTTTATTTAATTTGCTATCTGACAGTATCTTACAATTACCTTTAAGTGTAATGCACACTGTTCTTCTGGTAAACCATGAAAATTACATGCAATGTTATTCTGATGAATAAAGTGTAGACTACTGGCCTGAGTTAGTCATTTCTGTTCAGGTTGATGTAAAACTCTGCTAAGCGTGGCTAAAATACTGCTTTAAATGAAACGATTCAGTTATTTGGGTAAAAAGAATACTTTTAATACTGACTTGACAATAACATTGAATCATTGGGCAATTTTTAATTTTCTTTCCTAACTTTTTTATAAAGAAACAAATGCCAGGAGAGCAGTAGACAGAGGATATGTGCACGTGCTTTTAACAATTTATGTTGATTGGCACCGTCACGATAGTCGACACAGATACATGCTGATACGTAAAGGAGTTTTACAGTGCATTAAAAGTGTTACAAACATCAAATTGGGAAGAAAAGCATTCATTGATGCCAATGGGATGAAAATTCTTTACAACACTTCACAAGTAAGTTTATCTGTGTTGGGTTTTTTGTTGTTGTTTTTGACTCTTCAGCTTTAAAAACACATCCTGACCTCAGATTTGTCGTAGTTCTTTTATGATATTCATGGTCATTACTGATTAGGGGGGTAAGGATTATTTTCTGCAGTTGACTGAAGTGGAATGAAATAGTACAGAATTAAATTCATATTTGCTGTTATTTGGCTGTGACTATCCCTGGGAAGGGCTGTTGAACTTAATTTTAAAAAAGAGGGGGGGGGAAGCTTATAATTTTGAAGTCTGGCTTTTTAAAAAAGTTGAACTTAAGTTGGTAGAGGTTCTTCTGGCCTTCAAAGGAGGCATTAGCAAAATTTATTGTAAACAAAATACTTTGCTATTAGTGAATTCTAGAACTCTGTAAAACAAATGTAGCTTGACTATTAGTTTGAGAGATACATTTTTTTTCTTGTCTTCATTATTTTCCTGTTAATAGGAGTGCCTTGCAGTAAGAACTCTTGATCCTCTTGTCAACACATCCAGCCTAATAATGAGAAAATGTTTTCCTAAAAATCGTCTTCCTTTACCAACTATTAAAAGTGCTTTCCATTTCCAACTCCCAGTTATTCCTGCCAGTGGTCCTGTGGCTCAGCTGTACAACTTGCCTCCTGATGGTATGGTAATTTTGTAATATTTTGTCTTTAAGCATGTCTTGCTTTATGTAAGGTGGAATCAATTGCAGTTATTTGTGTTCTCCATTAAAATTTGGACACTGAGACCCTTCTCAGCTAGCAAAGGGTCAGTGGCTGTTAGTGCAGAGCACCAATTTCTAATGTTAAGTTTTAACTGATGATAATCTTGTCCACACATGTGGTTATGTTTCTGAGATAAAAAATAAAACAGGAACTAAAATGTGATGTTCATCAAACTCTGAAGTATAAAGCATAGGCTGTACGTATTAATCTACAAACCTAAATGGACTCTCTTTTTAACTCACTTATCATACACATTCTCCTATGTGAAATGGAGTGTACATGGTGTTTTACGGGAGTGTATATTGCTTGATTTACTTCTGTTACTCTGATAAACAGCATGTAGTGAATTTAGATTAATGTGCCATTTGAAGCATTATTTTTTAAATTATTGTGGTTATTCCTTCATTTGTACGATGAGAAAAGTAGAGCTGCTTTCTTGGACTGTTGCAGTCTTTTAGGCAACACTTGTCTGCAAAGCATTTTTGTATGGTGCTTTGTAGGAAATAGATTCGTCCCATTGTAAACACTTTTCGTTATTTTTGGATGATTAATATTTAATGCATTTTTAGATATGGTGAAATAGCTTGATACCTGGGTAAGCAACTAATGAAGTTGCTGTCAGAAAGTTACTCTAAAATGAAGAGGCAAAGTCAGACTTCTTAATATCTTCTTATTCACAATATTCTTGAAACAAAATGGGATCATAATCTGAAAGAAGACGGCTATCTGATTGGGGTTCATATGGGTCAGAATCAAACTGCTGGAGTTTAGAGTTTCTTTGTTTTGTCTTCAACATAGAAAATAGATTTAGAAATGTGTTTCAAAATTCACAGAAATTAAACGTCTACTTAATACAGTATGTTGAAGTAGACTACTGACATGTTTTTTTTAAAAGGTTTGTTATCTGTACAAAAAAGAAGTGAAAAACTTAGGGAAATAGGATACATAGGATTTTCTTTTCAAGGAAAAAATTCTGTATTAAAAGATGTGTAGAATATTGGGGTGGTTACTGCTCTGAGTTTATTAAAAATATAATCTTGTATAGTCAGCATTGTAAAAGTAATACATGTAATCATTCTGAATACACTAGAAAATCAGTATAATTTGTAAACCTCTGAGTGAGAATTTTACTGACAATCAGCAAATTTCCTGCATGGAAAACACTCTTTCAGAAAACATAATAAAAAAACCCCCAGCATCAAACTTCATGAGATTTCTAGAAAAAGATCAAATTTGCCACTAGTAAGCTAACCCAATTCTCATTAGTCAATTAGTTTGCTTCTCGTTGTTTTTCTTTGTTACGAAAGGAGGAGGTCATAGATCCTTCAATGTACTGGGTCTCTAACTCAAGTAGAAATTAGTCATTAGTGTCCAACTAGTTCCCCATGTCTAAAAAATAACATCTTGCTGTACGTTTTGGGGGTAAAATTTAGTTCCCAACCTGTTCATGCTAAGCAGTTGCAGTGACTACTCTCCTTGAGTATTATCCTTACTGGTTGAATCTCCAGTGATACACTTGATTTTTTTTTTTTTCCTTTAATTGTTAGGCCCCATTTAAGCAAGACAAAAATGGTAAAGGGGGTACTTTGTCCCACTGTTCCCTGATATGGGGTCAATACTAGGTGACATGACTAAAAGCTTCTGAGACCTTAATTTTTTTTTTTTTGGATGTGATCATTATTACTTTGGGAAAAGGTTTCAGAGTCATCTCATTTTGTGCTGACCTCAAGCCGTGCTGAGATGTTCTTGGCCTATCCACATCGTAAAGTATTTCTATGGCCATCTGCTGTCTTACTGGGTTTTTTTTGGGGGGGGGAGGTGGGGTGGTGGAGTGGTTTTTTGTTTTGTTTTGCTTTGTTTAAACCAGAGATCTTTGTTTTGACTTAAAACTGGATAGAAATGTGATAAATTGAGTCTGCATTATTGTCAAACAATTATTTTGTTTTGTAAATCTGGTAATAGTAATTAGTGTTTACTAGTTGGTTTTCACATTTTTTCAACTGGTAAGTAAAAAAGAAAATAAACCCAGAATACAGAAATTTTTTTGAGCATATGTATTGGATTAAATGTATAATCTGCCTTACAAAACTCTTTTGTACCGTAGTGGATGATGTAGTAGATGAAAGTGATGATAACGATGATGCTGAAACAGAATCAGAAATTGAAACCGAAAATGATGATGACAGGGACCAACATTTTAAGGTTGGTATGAGACAAAATTAACAGGCAAAAATCAGGCACAGCAGGTTTTTATTTTTTTACAGTTGTTTATTTTTTTTTTAAGTTGCTTGAATGATGTATACAGCCAAATGTTTTAAGTGTTAAAAGGACTTTGAGGAGGTTTTCAGGGCAGTTTCTACAATTAAAAAAGTTCCTGAAACTTAAGGAGGGTGTGTGGTGCTTGAAAATATCAACCTTTGTTGTTCAGATTGCTTCTAGATTTTTGTCAAAACCTGTTTGCTTCATACTTGATGCATCTGGAGTACAGTGGAACCAAACTGCAAACTCTTTTAGCACTGTTCTGCTCCCAACTTGTATTTCCCTCAGCTCGCTCTTCCCACCTAAGCTGCTTAGTGTGTAGGAGCTGCTCTAACTTTTCCTGTCATTCTGGACTGGGATTGAATAGGTCAGTGTTTCAGTAAGGTAACTTTGAAGTTCAGCCAACTGTAGAGGTAGAGATCAGACCTCTCACTGTTGTATCACTTTAGGAAGGTCTTGTTCTGCTCTCCAGCTGCCAGCCATGACATGAAAGGACATTTGGCCAGAACTGCCTTATTCTATATTTTGATGTTACATATGTTCAGGAGTTAATAAATTGTCTGTCCACAGACTGCAATGGCAAATTTTATTCAAGGCTCTCATGAGCCCCAGTGAAGGGAGTATCTTCCATAGAAGCTGTTACTCCTTTGTCACTGCAGTCAGATGAGATCTCCACATTCCAGGTTGCAATAGTTGGATTATGCACAGATCTCATATAAAGTGTAGTCTGATGTCTGTGCGTAATACATTTGGATGAAAGCAAGAAAACGGAGGTATTTGTAATATTTCTGTTGAAATGGAGGCTTCGACATGCTAATAAAACTGAGCAGCTTAAAACTTCATGGTGAAAGGTGAGGTTCAGCTAATTTTAAAATAGTGCTATTCAGCTCTTAAAGCATGGCTGTGTCCGAAGTAAAAGGTAAATCTAATTATTTTAGAAGTTCATTAATTCTGGATGTAAGATTAATTTGTTCTGGTGCTCTTTCAGAATGATGATATTGAGACCGATATTAATAAACTGAAACCTAGACAGGAATTGGGAAGACCCATAGAAGAACTGAAAATATATGAGCAATTCTTCCCGGAACTTTCAGAAAACTTTCAGGTAAAGTGTATAATTCCCAAGGCATTACTTGTCATGAGGGGTTGACTCTGGAATACACTTTGATATTCTTTTTTGGGTGGATAGGTCCCCTAGCCAAAAAATGAGTCTACAGTTCTAGAGCTACATATGAGAGTGCTGTATAGTGAATTACTTAGTTAAATGTCATAGGTTACTTTAATCTGACTGAGAAGGGGATTGTGGGTGGATATAAAGGAAAACTGTTTTCTGATGTCTGATTATTACACACAGCAGAAAGTAAAATAGTAAGAAAGGACATGAAATTTCTGACAAACATTGATTGTATTAGGTATTTCCTTAAATGCTGTGCACCTCTTTAAAGTAGTTGGTGAAAATATCTGGGGTATTGCATTGACTTGATAATTTGTTGTTGATGATCTACTTGTTTATTGCTTTGACGCTATCTTCTTGTGAAAGCTGAAATTTCATTGCTATGTTTATATAAGTTTAAAACTTAGTAACTGTTGTCTTTTAAATTACACTTATTTTGGATTATTGCAAAATGCACCTCAGGAGCAATGAAGGAGAATGTTTGTGTCTAATAGAAATGAAACTTTAGGAACTCTGTACTTTTTTACAATCTCTTTATTTATTTTTTTTTTTTTTATTTTTTAAGGAATGTGACTTAGTTTCCAAGGAACCAAAGCCTTTTGTACCTGATGCAAATCTGTGTGGACCTATTGTTGTTCCTACAGCAGGAGAGGAGCACTCTGCTGAAGCAAAACAGTCAATGAAAGGAGTTATTTTAAAGGAGAGCAATCCTTTATTGGCAGAGGAATATAACAGAAGGCCAGCCTTTCTGGAACTACCAAAGAAAGATAGTATCAAAGATAGTAGTTTACATCAGCAAAATGATCAAAGAAATCTGCTTCCATCATGCCAGTGTCTAAGCCAAGATATTGTGAAGGGCTTGGACAGAATCAGTCTGCAGAGCAGTGCAAAAAATGACCAATATTATTCTACAGGGTGTGTAATAAAGAAGGAGAGCAAAACTAGCCTTACCACACTTGCTTGTAGTAAACCTTGCGAACATGTTTCACCCTGTGGAAGCAGCCTCTTTGAAGGATCATCTGTCCAGCTGGGAAAACTCTGCTGCACTGGAGTGGATTCAGAGGAGGAGGATTCCAGATCTAGTTCATCAGGGGAACAAGTCGTGCTTGAGGTTTCTGATGTATCACCAGTTCATGACTGTGATCTTTATATTGAAATGGTAAAAACCACAAAGTCTATTCCTGAATATTCAGAAGTGGCCTATCCAGATTATTTTGGCCATATTCCACCCCCATTTAAGGAGCCTATTCTGGAAAGGCCATATGGGGTGCAGAGGTGAGTTACCATACTCCTTTTTTTGTCATTATTTTCCTTGCCTTAAGAAACAATCTTTAGGATGAGATTAACAGGCACATATACAATGTTTACTTTGGTATCTAAAACTGTTTTCAGTGAAAAGCAGTCTGAAGGTAGATGAGTAGGCATTGATCAATGCAGAGCCATAAACAAGAACACAGTCTGATTCTGTAATTGCTAATTCTGTAATTCAGTAAAATTTATAGTCTCCCTTTCTGCCTTCCCACCGTCCCCCATCTAAATCTTGTAGTTTGCAAAAAACCCCAAAACACCACACAAAAACACCCAACAAACAAACAAAAAACCCCTCTTGAGTACTCCCTTCAGGTCTTAGCAAAGACAGGAGAGTTAGTAGTTTAGAGATACTTCAGCTTTTCTCTTTGTGCTAACAAAACTATCTTTCAGGAAAATGTAGTGGCAAAAATTAAAAAATTAGTGCACTTAAGTGTTTGCTTTTTTAGTGTTTGCAGTAGAAGAGTATTTAGAGGTAACAAATGCTGAGGATGCAGTTTGAGTTCAGTCCTGCAGAATGACACACAGTAAATGCTGAAAGAAAAATAAACCAATAAAAATGAACACATCAGCACACCCATTTATTTCTTCACTGAGAGATATTAGAAGATGATGAAGGGTGATGAGACTCTTAAGAATAATTTGCAGAGGTGGTATGAAGAGCTGGCTCATATGCATAGTAAGTTACTATAAAGACAAATGAGCATGTTAGCAGAACATGTAATAGTAACTGTGAGACCTTGCCACTTGCTTAATTATTAGATTGAATGCTTTCAGCTTTATACTTTAACCGGTTTCATGAGTCTTCATATTTACATTTAGATATTAAAATGACTAAGAGATTAAGTGTCTTCAGATTGTATAATTAAAATCCTTTAGCTGTTTCACATGTGTCATAAAAAGTGATCTTTCTAGTGAAATGACCAGGTGTTGAAACACTAATGATGTAATGAATATACCGTTACTAGAAAGCACTGTTCAGTGTTGAAGGAGGATAATCTTCCCTACAAGCTTGTTTTTTAAATGCATTCAGCCAGTTTAGAAGGGAGATAGTCTTTAGTCAGAAATCTTGTAAGAACTGCATTTTAAGAAAATCTTGCAAATATTCATGGATGTTTTTGTAGTACTTAATAATTCTGAATTTTATCTGAGTGAAGTTGAGTGAAGTCAGATGAAATTTTTCATTCCAATGCTCATTCTTCTTAGCTATAAAGCACTGTATTAATTCTGACATTTAATCAACAAAGCTACCTGTGTGGTTATACATAAAGCTGATTTCTAAACCGTAAAGGTGATTCTAGTGTATATTTTATTTTAACTTTAAAATGTTTTATTTTTGTTGTATTTTCTACATTGAAAGTAACTTTTTTAGGTCCTGTGTGAAACAGGAATGAATGTCAGGTAAAGTTGCTAAACTTGTATCAAAAATCCTGCATCACCTTTTTAAGATACACCGTTGTAAGAATTCAGTTTTCTACAAATGACTCAGTCTTGCTACTGCAATGTAACAAATTTCTGAGAAGGGAACCTGCTTAAAAAGGGCTTAAACTTTTTTGGAATTTATAGTTTATAGGAAGGTGGTGAAAATGAGTTTGGTAGGGGACATGGAAAAGCTTTTAACTCTTCTACAAAGCTGTGTCCAAACTCTTTTGGTGTTCAGTGGGAGTTATGTTCTCCTTAATGTAAGCAGTTAGTTGCTGCTTGTTAGCTAAGTCTCCTTTAGAAAACAAATAGTTGCCGTAATCCGTCCTTGTAATTTAAGAAAACGTTGTGGGGGGCTGAGCTGGGGAGTTAGAGTTTTCTTTTTACTTTTGTTAGACAAGCGTGTGGGGTTTGGTGTGGTTGTTTTTTTGTTTGTTTGTTTGGTGGTTTTTTGGTTTTTTTTAGTCTTGCAATATGCTGGGAGATGCACTGTTCTTGAATTTGTGCTTTGGAGGGCTTTTGCTTTTTTTGTTTATATTTAGTAACTTGCAATTTTCACCAAATGTCTCACCAAATTATTATTGCTTGGAAAAATGTCATTGAGAATACCTGAGTGTTTTATATTATTCTATCTTTTAGGAAAGAAAATTATTATATAATTCAATACCTTATACATTTGGGTTTAAATTCCTACTTTTTTCCATTCCTTAAAATTTTAGGGGTTTTTTTGCTGTACACTTCGGTATTTTGTAATCACTTTATTTTCTAATCATCTGACACTTAGAAGTGATCATCAGGTAAATCAAGATCCACAAAGGGCTAACCTATAAACATAGAGCTCCACATCACCAGTATTGGTTTTATGTTTTTTCCTTTAATTATCTTAAAATAGCTCCTCTTTTGTCTTGATTTTTTTTTTTGAACGTGAAGATGTCTGCTACTACTTTTCCTTTTCATGTGCATCTTGAATGCCATTTCTTCTTTCCTTTTGTCTACATCGGTTATTACTATGATCTTTGAATGCCTGATATTCAGTAATGGATTTTGTCTTGGCAAAACTGCTGTGATGATAGCAAGTATTGTGACCCTTTAGAGCTGAGGCATACTGAGATCTAAGGAGTTGTGTAAGATCAAGCGCAAGATCAAAAATCTGTGGTTCTGCCTTGAACTAAACCTGATCAGATAGATTGTGGTGAGTCAGCCTCTTTACAATTTTGTCAGTACATTGGTCTTATGACTTGTTTTCTTTTCCAGTTAAATTTAATAAAAGGCACTGGAGTTGTGCACTTACCTTCTTCTCATCAGTTAACAGTATCTATTTTAATAAAATGGAGAATTTCCAGTCTGAACATACTTTACTGCTCTGTTCCTGTATTGTTCATTGTTAATCTGCCTCCTTTTCTTCTTATTGCAGGCGCTGTGCAAGCTTTTCCACACAGCTCTGCCACTATATTTCATTCTTGAACTGCAACACATTCTTACTTTTCCAGACCAGGACCTAGATAACTGCCAGTTGTGCAATGTTTTTTATGATCTGGATAAACATACACCTGACATTTTGCTGACATCACCAAATGCATTCTTACTTGTTACCTAGTTGATAGATGAACCTAGATCTCCAGAGGTGAAAAGCTAGTGCACTAACATGCTCACTGCATGACCTACTCTCTAAAATGCTTTAATTTTAGTTATGGTAGGACTCATGTAAGTTATTAATGTTATCAAGTGCTGTCCTGGATTAAAGCATTAACATAAGTAATGTTTGAGTAATTCCTGCTTCTACCATAGAGTATGAAATGGTGCATTTTTCCCATAAGAGAAAACCCAGTGGGTTGTGTGCATGAAAACTCAGCTCCCTCACATAAAAATACTGGACTTGGTCAGCTGTGAATGCAGGTGTTAAAACTTAAGTACACTTACAGTTTGCCCACATAAGTGGGGATGAGGCTGAGGTCTCTCTGAAAACCTGTTCCACTGTCTTCATGTCAGCTTTGTTAGTTTTCATTGTTGTATGAGGTAATTCCTCTTTTGTAATTGGAAACAGTATGGAACAACTTAAATGAGAACTCTGCTTTTTATTTTAGGACAAAAATCTCTCAAGATATTGAAAGACTGATTCATCAAAATGACATTATAGACAGAGTTGTGTATGACCTTGATAATTTGAGGTAAGTTTTCACTGTTAGGAAAACAATATTCAGCGAATACCCTAATCCTTTTCTACTTTTTCTGTGATATTATTTGTAATACTTAAAGCAGTACTATTATGACAGACTTCAATGAAAGTGTCATCTGGTGTAACAGTGTTTCTGCTGTCCAGGCTGCATTTAGAGGAGGGTTCAAAATAATTTCGAAATTACCAAGTGAGGACTAAAATAAACTTAATGAGTTTGTTTTAGTTAAGTTTGCTTTATTCATTTTTATCCCTTTTCTTTTTCTACTCATAGTTGTTCAGTACCAGAGGAAGCAGATGTCTTGAAGTTTAATTCCAAATTTGAATCAGGAAATCTGCGCAAAGTTATTCAGATCAGAAAGTAAGATATTTCAACTTTTTCTTTTCACACATAAGACCTTTTATTTCTGCTTTTTAACAAAAACAAATCAATCTTTTTTTTTTTATCTTTAGAAACGAGTATGATCTAATTCTGAACTCGGATATAAATAGCAATCATTATCATCAGTGGTTTTACTTTGAAGTTAGTGGAATGAAAACTGGCATTGGTTACCGGTTTAACATCATCAACTGTGAAAAGTCAAACAGTCAATTTAACTATGGTAAGATACATTTCCCATATTTTGAGAAGAAATACGTAGAAAAATATCTGTACTAGACAGCTCAGCTCTTTCCTTCTCTCTGCCCCAGGATCAGTAGTATTTTCATGTTGTCAGATCAGATTCTTTTTTAATAGCATTACTAGAAAATGTTTTGACAAGTTTCAGTTAAAATGAAAAAAAGTATCTTAAAATGTGGGCTGTCAGTTTTTAAAATGAAGTTTTGTTTAAGTGAGGCCAAAGCAGAACAAATTTACTGGTGGCTGCGGCTAAAATTTGTCCTAAGACCATGGTGGGGGACACACCACCAAAGCCTGTTGATCCACATAGGTGCAAGAAGAATGACAGCTGTTGTCATTAATCCCTCTCTGAATAGAGGTGTTATTTTCAGATGTGAAAGTAAGCGGAGACATTCTCAAACAGTTTTGTGTTATTGATGGGAAGAGAGGCACATTATCTGAGAAGGAAAAGTAAGTCTCCTTTGAAATGCTGGGCTTCGTAGGTGACCCTTGCAGTCTCCAGTGAGTCGTGTTTGCTGCTTGTACCTCATCCAAAAGCACTGGCTTACCGAATAGGCCTTTCTTCGACTTGTTGAGGGGGGGGTGGTGTGTCATTCAGCTTAAAACCATTTGTTTTGTTAGGTTGTTTTTTTTTCCTGCTGGATTTTCTGAAATTCATTCTGTAAGAAGGAGGAGGAGAAGTTCCATACCACACCCCCCCAGCTCAAACTCTTGCAACAGAGTAATGTCATATTCTTCTTTGTTGTAATTGTACAATTCACATTGATAAAATCCAAGAGTACCAGGTAGTTTAACCAGTAATAAGATGCTTTTAAATTATTTACTGATCTTCATCAGTTACCTTAGATCTTCATTCATATGTTGCATATACTTAACTGATAGTTATGTCTGTTTTTAAGTACTCTGACTGAATCAGTCAATGTAGTTGGCTAATTATCTAACTAGTAAATAATGTTCAATTAATATGTATTATCTTCTACTCTAACTTCATATTAAGTATTCAACTGAAGTATAGTCTTTAAAAAATATAGACTTTTGAGTTACTGTTTAAAAAAAAAATAAATTTGTCCTGAATCATCAGTTATTTTCCAGCTATCCGGGTGAATGGATGATTGTATCAATTTTTTGTATTCTCTTTGAAGCTTTTTTGTAATGGTGAGCTGGATGGAGTGGGACCAGACTTCTTGTAGATTACCATTCATGCTAACCACAGCTTTCATGTAACATTTCATTTTGGTCTTCCATAGGTTTGATTCTTTTTTTTTTCCTTTAGTTTGTTATTTGCTGAAAATTAGGACATAATAAGGGGAGAGGGGGAAAAATCTTTTGTCACCTTGTTAAGAGTGTACAATACCCAAGCATTCATGAAAATACACTCTATGATAGCGAGTAAATGAGTATAGGTAGATCGGAGATTCATTTATAAATATCAGTGTGGTCTGTTACTGCAAAGATCTTGATGTGTAATGTTAAGCATTAAAGCGAGATGCATTTTGTCTTTAAGGTATGCAGCCCCTCATGTATTCTGTTCAAGAAGCATTAAATTCTCGACCATGTTGGACTCGTGTTGGGACAGACATTTGTTACTATAAGTAAGTAGACCAATCAAACATACAGCAAATCTTACACTGAAGATTAGTATGAGGTACAATTTTTGAGAAGAAATGTTTGCTTCTGAGTTTGATAATTCTGTTTTAGTAGTTCTGTTGTAAACAGTTTTCTTCCTGAGTTACTATGGGAGTAACAGAAGTGATTGAAATAGATAGGGTCTTATTTTGTTAGCATACTGCTAATATTTAGGTTGTTCATATTTTACACTTTTGTAAGAAATTGCATACTGTTCCAGAGAACCTTTTAAGGGAATGTATATATGCATACTTACTTGAAATCTTAATAGTGACTTCCAATAATACTGATCACGTGGTGCTTGCAATTAGGCTCCTGTATTCTATGGTGCAATTACTGTAGAGCAATCCTGGAACACAGGATGAGATAGTACAGCATATCCATGCGTTGCCCTTCTTGGTCAGAAGTTGTGTGCTTCCTTTTTTTGTTTTGTTTTGTTATTTGTTTACTGGCCTTTTCCCAATATGAATGAATGTGTATCACTGTTATAACAAAGTATTTTACAGATGGTGGGAACCAGTGGTTTTTAACCTGGATGTATGCAGAAGAGAAACACAATCACTGAAAATCTTCCTGGCTCTTAGAATGTGTGTTCAGGAATAATCAGTGATATGAAAAAAAATTATTCTAATGTGTTAATTACCTTCATTTTACTCTTAGGAATCACTTTTCAAGAAGTTCAATTGCTGCTGGAGGTCAGAAAGGAAAATCTTACTACACAATTACGTTCACAGTGACTTTCCAACATAAAGATGATGTTTGCTACTTTGCTTACCACTACCCGTATACATACTCAACTTTAAAGGTAAGAAGATTATGATCTGTTACATAGATAAATATTTATACTTTCGGACAATGTGAAATGTAAGCATTCATGAGTGAATTCTTTTTATTTCTTTTCATGAAGTTCAAAATGCTCCTTAAAATGGAGAATTTTCATAAAATATTAGTGTTTAGACTGGTAAAGTCTGTAGGTTGTGCTAAAGAACAGTCCATGGAAAAATAAAGTAGATACTTGCAGGCTAAATGGGTTTTCTGGGAATGATAATCCATAATTGACAGGAAATGATGCTAATTGGATTGAGTATTTGTGTTTTAGAAAAATTACTCATATCCTCCTCTTCTATGTATACCTCTTCATAACTGATCTATTCAAGTTACTATATCTAAGATAATTAGAGACCTTTTTAGGATAATGAATTGGCTGAAGAAGTTTTGTGAAGCTTTTAGTACTAAGCAAAGCTCTTGGCTAGAATCTCTGTTGGTTGTTTCTATCATAGCAATAAAAGCGAACTTGGGGACTCTGTGGCCAGTGTGTAACAGCATTGAATGAAGCTTTTTACTAAGCCCTACTTGCTCTTGGAAGAAGTACCTGTTAAGGGATGTTATAAGGAGCTACTGCCTCTAGCAGCTCTGGGGCCTGGCAGTTCCTCCTGCCTGGCTGCTGGAACCCAGCAAAGGGACCCGCGGGGTCTCTGTCCCAGGCTGATGGACATGGCTGCTGCTTCCCTGTTTGCTTGTAGGTTCAACCACTAGCGAGTATGAGTGTGTATCCCAAAAAGAGAGAGAGACTCACACATAACACACACACACACTTGCACATCCCCCCCCCAGTTTTTAACAGGCTACACAGACTGGCACAGACAACATGCTGCCTTCAGCGGCACCCATGTGTAACACTACCAGGACTTGCTTAAAAGATAACTGCAGACACCCAGTTCCCTTTTGTCCTCTCTAGCTGGTAAGGATTGCTGTTCACTAGTAAAAATACACAGCCATCCACTCTCTAGAATCACCTGCACATTTGTGGATGACTGGCATGACCTATTCATGCCATACCCCTGCCTGGATGCTGGGCTCTCTTACCTGCTGTGCAGGCCTCCAACTTGCAGGCTAGTCCAGCCTGATGCTCGCTAGCAGACAGATGCATGCGCTTGCACGCTCTTCTCACAGGTACTCCACACTTGTAGTACCCCCAGATGCCAGCATGGACTCTGCCCACCTGATACCCCTGCCTTGGCCTGGGGCCTCATACTCAGCTGGGTAGCCCACCTCGAAGTTTGCTAGCAAATCGTACATGCACCCCACCATGCACACTAGCTTCAGGGAATATGCATGTGCTTGCCCCCTGTCCCCAGCAGCTGGTAGCAGGCACATGGGTTCATAACCCATGTTACTACTCTAGGTGCTGGCACTAGAGGGGAGGAGACACCCTCCCTTCCTTCACTCACCCTTATCATCCCACTAGCTGGTTTTGGGACACATACTGTTCTTGCCCCAGTGACTGGACACCAAGACCCTTACGCACTCCAGTAGCTGGCGCTGAGACCCCCTCTCGCTTCTGCTGCTGATACCACGGACCAAAGGGTGCCTATGCTGCCTACAGCTCCAGCTGCTGGCACCAAGTCTGCTCACTTCGATCCCAACAGTAGCTGGCACTTTGGACACAAAGTCTGTGGTGCCCACAGAGATGCCTGTGTGTGGCCTCTCCAACTACTTGCTGATGCTGAGACCCTTGCTCACTCCAGTTGCTGACCCCAAATGCACTCATACCTGTCTTGTTGGTTGCACCTAGTCCACACAGCATTTGTGTGCATGCGATAGAGAGTGAGGCTGCACAGAGTGATAGTGTTGTCTGAAAAGCAGATTTGTTTCCTGGTGTGCAACCACCCAATAATCACACACTAGGGAAAAACTTTATTTATTTCATATTTGTGTAAAGGTGGGTGCTAGGTGCTAATTCCACAAAGCTAGCACACCACGCCAAAGAAAAACAATGTATTTATTCTGTTACATGATTAGTAAAAATCTGCCTAAAATCACGTTCATTGGTTAGTAGTCACCATCTCATCTACTGACTAGTTATATTTAAATTAGCCTCGTTTGCTATGTAGATTAGCATGCGTTTTTCTCGCGGGTGTGGGGGGGCAAGTTTTTCCAGCCTGGAACTGAGTTGGTGGTCACGATCTCCCCCTGCCACCTTTACCTTTCCCCCAGTTCATGCTTCTTGTCAATCATCTGGCCTTTGGCACCTTCTGGGGCAGGATGTTTCTTTTTATCAGTCACTTCCTACATTTCTTAGGTCCAATTATCTTTCATGTTTCTTTTCTCTCTGATGGACCTTGAGTATTCTCACCAAGTGGGCAATGCACATGAAACATCCTCAAAACATCAAGGCCTAATTGTTCCAGGGTGTTCTTATTCTATGAATGCCAAGTGTGTGTTTTTCTGATTACAGCCTTACTTGTTAATTTGATATATACAAAATATACCTTGCACAAAATAGACTGTTCTAATTCTCTGAGTTATTCTCCAACAATTCCTCCCTTTTAGACTTGTCTAGGGGTATTCCTTAGATGAGTCTCATTTCTGCATCAAGTTGCTTGCTGCCAAGCTACACCTACAAGTGCATTGTAGAAGTACATGTAAACACACAGAAGCTAGCAAGATTACTATCAATAATGTCAACAATCTCTTGAGCCATAAGCTTAAATCAGGGTACCAGGAAGTTAACCATCTCCAAATCTCTTCAGATCCTAGAGGTGTATCATCCTTCTGAATTTTGTGTAAGATCTTTGTTTGTTGCCAGATTTCATTCAAATCAGTAGCAATTCTTCCACTCTGATCTACATATATACAGCAGCTGGTGTTAATTACCGTACACATACCTCCTTGAGAAGCTAACAACATGTCCAATGCCATCCTGTTCTGAATGGCTATAATAGCAGCCTCGGACATCTCTTCTTGTAGAGCCTTAATGGCATCAGAAGTCACGTTCCCTATTTTCTCAATAAGGGCAGAAATTCAGTATTGCCTTCAAGTTCACTAACTCCTAATGAAGGGAGGAACCATCTCGCAAATGAATGGAAGGTGGTAGGACAATTGATTAATGGGTTGTGGCTTCTTCAATGTCTTTTCATGTATGTTCGTACCCATAATCCTGCCTTGGTCTCATTTATTACTGTTACATTAGGAACAATTGCATCCAAAGTGCAAGTTCCTGACCGATTGGGAGGTGGGGCCTTTTGTGCTTTATTCCCACATAACCAATACCACCCACTACCTTTTGGAATATCTAATAGCCATCCTGCTGTTTCTTCCTTTGTAATTGTGTTGACCAATCACAATATGGGTAATGTACTACTGCAACATTACTAGATGACCTAGTCTTATTTGTTGTCACACATTTAACATCTAAAAGATTGGGATCCCCTATATCCCAAGTTTGAAGGTCAGCTTCATTCTTTCTTGTGAATTTTGGGTTTATCCACAGATTATTCCAGGACGTATTAAAAGGAATTAGTATTCCCACTAAGTGTACTCCCCTATCACTATATTCCAGAAAATGGGTGTATACCCAGCAACTTGTTTGATTAGCTGCTACTCAGCTTTTTCAGTCGTTTTCAAATGAAGATTATGATTCCAAGACTCAGAGCATCCTTCCTGGTTCCCTTTAATTGTCTGATTCGGGAAGATGAGAAAAAATAACCACCATATTTCTTTCATCGCTAGGCTTTAAAAAAGTAGTGTACTTGTTTAAAAACCATAAGAGCAGTATTACTGCTATTCCTAAAACACAACCCAAGAAAATTTTTCATTGTATACACTCTGAATGTAAAATTGATCTAATATGAATCCAAGTGTCTCTGCGTATTTTTAACTTCAAAGATTGTATTTGTTCAACTTCACATATCTTTGGAGGGGCCACCTTTATTTGGGTGTAATGAATCCAGGAATCAATTCCTTGAAGTTTCACAGCAGCATTTGTAGTCAGTAGCACAAGGTAAGGTTGTGCTTTTCTGTCAATGGCTCCTCTTTCCAGGTCCGTAGATATACCTGATCTCCTGGCTTAAGTGGATGTACAGGTGAATCCAAAGGCACAGGAGCTCTCAGTTGGATGTACCTGTGGAGAAAAGCAAGAACTCTTGCCATAGACAAGAGACAATAGCTTAAAATTTGATCACCCTTAAGGTGCTTCTGGGTTTCTTTTCCTGTTACGTTTATAGTGTAAGGTTTCCCATACAAAGTTTCAAGTGAATGAATCCCTTCTTTAACTCTAAAAGTTATTCTAATTCTTAATAATGCTAGAGGTAAAACTTAACATCCATTTCATCTGAGTTTCCTGACATAATTTTCCAATCTGTCTCTTTATTGTCTGATTCATCCTTTCTGCTTTTCCACTGGACTGTGGTCTCCATGGAGTATGTAAATCCCACTTAATTTGTAAAAACCTTGACACCTCTTGAATTATTTCTGCAAGAAAGTGAGGTCCTCGATCTGAAGAAAACCCTTCTGGTACCCCAGATCTTGGTATAATTTGCTTCAAAAGAATTTCTACCACTTCTTTTGCCTTACTGGTGTGACATGGGAAAGCTTCAGGCTATCCTGAAACAGTATGAACAATTACTAGCAAATACTTTTATCCATTACAATTAGGTAATTCAGAAAAATCAATTTGTTAATATTCCCCAGGCATAAAACCTCTTCTTACCTCTCCGGGAGGGAGTCTCCTTTGGATCTTAGGGTTATTTTTGGCACAAATCTCACATCATTGTGTTAACACTTTTGGCAATCAGCATCATATTAATCCCTACAGCATATCTCTTCACTGTTTCAATTAGAGCCTGAGTCCCCATATGCGTACCCTTATGTGTTCATTCCATTAGTTCCTTCATTATCTGTGGAGTCACAACACATTGTCCAATTGTTGTTACCCACCATCCTTCGGCAGTCTTTATACACTCTAACAATTCAGCCAGCTTGTTTTCCTTTTCTGTATATTTAAGAGTGTCAATTTTAAAATTCTTTTTCGAACTAGAGTTGCCATTGTTGCTGATAGAGCAATTCTTTTTGCAGCCTCATGTGCTTTTCAGCTTCCTTTAATCACATCAGTTGGTCCAGATTGATGTGCTTTGCAGTGTATTACTTCTGTTTCTCTAGGTTTATAAACTGCTTCAAGAAGATTCATAATTTCTTTGCTGTATTTTACAGGGTTTTCTTGTGAAGGTAACAATCCTCTTTCTTTCCAGATTGCACCATAAGCATATATTACACCAAAGGCATATTTTGAATCAGTATATATATTAACTCATTTTCCTTCGGATAATTCCAAGGTTCAAGTTAAAGCAATTAATTCAGCCTTTTGAGCAGATGTATTCACTGGCAGTGGTTTTGCTTCTATTTCTTCTTCTAAAGTAACAACAGCATATCCAGCCTTCCATTCTCCTCTCACAAAAAAGCTGCTTCCATCAGTGAATAGCTCCCAGTCAGGCTCCTGTAAAGGAGTATCCTTCAGGTCTGAACGACTAGAGTACACTTGTTCAATAGTTTGTAGACTATCATGTGCCAATCCCTCCTTTTCATGTAGAAGTAATAATGATGCCGGATTCAGGGCACTGGACACTTTCATTGCTATATCTTCCTGTTTGAGCAATATTGCTTGGTATTGTACCATCCTGCTTGGAGATAACCAATTATGTCCTTTCTGTTCCAGCACTGCTACAACAGCATATGGCACATAAACAGTTATTTTCTGTCCCAAAGTCAATTTTTGTGCCTCTCGTATTAGCAATACAGCAGCTGCCACTGCTCTCAGACATCCTGGCCATCCAGAGCTTACCTTATCTAATTGTTCTGAAAAGTAAGCTACTGGTCTTTTCCAGTCTCACAAAGTTTGTGCAAGCACTCCCAGTGCCTCATGTCCTCTCTCATGTACGTAAAGTTCAAAAGGTTTTGTTAAATTTGGAAGGCCTAAGGCAGGAGCACTCATAAGGGTGATTTTTATTACATCAAATCCTTTTTGGCATTCTGAAGTCCATTCCAGTAACTCTCCTGGTCCCTTAACAGCTTCATACAAAGATTTAGCCAGTAAACCAAAATTAGGTATCCACAGGTGACACCATCTGGCCATTCCCAGAAATCCCCCGAGTTCTCTTTTGATGGCGGGGGGGGGGGGGGGGGGGGGGCGGGGGGAGGATGT